ACTCATGAACCATGTATGAAGGGAGAAAATGAATTAAGTACCCCTTCTCTTTGAAATTTTTAACTGGTTGAGAGGTACACACAGGATTAGATTGGGATAGATAAATCAAATGTCCTGCCAGACACCATCCTAGAGAGTTTGCTACATGGAGAGGAAGAGACTGTGTGAACCCTGCAGGCAGAATGGGAACCCTGGAGAACAAAGCTCTGCTCAGGCCTTTTTTCCAGTCTCAGGACACACTTTTCAGTGAGAAGAGAGGGTAGGGCATGTGATTATAGAAGTTCCTGCAGGAGGAATGCAGGGAAAGAATCCTGCCAAATGGTCATTTTAGCCAGTGTTTTGATGAGACGTTATCATTTCTCCTTTGAGTCAGAAGTACACAAGTGATAAAATGTGGGTGCATCACACATGAAGAACCTTGCATAAAATATATGAAAAATTTAAATACAGATGGAATTAGAGATCGGTTTAATATGTATGAAGCACTTACTATGTACTAGCCACTGTGTTGGTCTGTAAACATGAAAAATATAAACATTTCATTCATGGGGGACCCTTGCTTACCTCCCTGGTATGTTTGGGTATTTGCTTCCATATCATTTATCGCTTAGAGAAGTTTAGAAGTAGGGTGGAGATCAGAGAAATGTAAGATTAGCATGTAAGGAGTCACTGCCAATTGAAAATCTAGTAGAAAAAAAGTTAAAGCAGTTCTAAATCTGTGATGTTAATAGGGAAATAATAAATTTGATTTTAAAAATCAGAATGTGGGGCGCCTGGGTGGCTCAGTTGGTTAATTAAGTGTCCAAGAGATCAGTCACAATCTCACAGTTTGTGGATTTGAGCCCAGCATCAGGCTCTGTGCTGACAGCTCAGAGCCTGGAGCCTGCTTCGGATTCTGTGTCTCCCTCTCTCTCTGCTCCTCCACTGCTCATGCTGTGTCTCTCAAAAATAAATAAACGTAAAAAATTAAAAAATCAGAATGTATGGGGAAGTTGGTGCTAAACCATTCATGGACAACCTGCTTCTTTCTGGGTTGGGGTTTTGTATGTAGCAGAACAGCTCCCTCGCTGCCATCTGTTGAAAGTCAGCCCTCAATACAAGAGTTCATTAAAAAAAAAAAAAAAGAAGAAGAAGAAGAAGAAGAAGAAGAAGAAGAAGAAGAAATTTGTTTTTAAACTGAAAACAAAACAAAAAAATCAGAATGTAGCTGACTGTATAAAATCAAGGCCTCTGCTATACTCAGAGCACCAAAAAGCAAGGCAGATGTGTCATCTCATTGTTCATGCTTAAGAACTGTCCCAGTGTCACTTGCCATCATTCTGAGCCTGTGTGGGAAGAGCAGAGGCCTTGGGGTTTAAGCAGACCAGTGGTTGAACCCTCCCCTCCACGCAAAATAGCAGCGTAACTTGGATGAGTCGCTTCACCTTTCTCAGCTCCAATCTCTTTGTTAAGTAAGAAGGTGGCCAGGACTGCCACAACCATCTTGTTTACTTACCACACAGCAGCCAGTCAGACAACCTTGTTCACTTTACTCATGAACACGGCAGACAAGTTTTTACAGGCTGGGGTATTCCATGGGTGATGGGGATGGCTGAGGTGGACCTGGGAAAGAGGCATGTGTGGTCTGAGAAGGTTTGAGAATCATTTGTTGATTAGAATGTGTCTGAGTTTCTGTGGAAAGGCAGCATGGCACTAAGGAAAACACAAGGAAACAGCTCCAGGCCCTGAGCACTTACATACCAGGAGATCTTCCCTCTGTCGTGATGTTCAGTGGCAAAGGGCTCCCAGAACCTGACCTGTGGTGAGAACCCCAGTCCCTTGCAGGATCTTACCGGCTACATTAAATCACATGGAGGCTTTGTCTTCTGGGTACAGGTAGATGTTGAGGGTTTTTAAGCAAAGGAATGATGTGGTTGGATTTGCACTCCCTCTTCTGTGTTTCCACGGTCTCCTTGACACTCTTTGCCCGACTAGATGACTCCTCCAGGGCAGGATCCTACCTTTTTCATTAAATGAGAGGTGCAACAGAATGGCAAAGCATGGACTTTGGAGTTCCGCACTTGACTTAATCTCTTATGTCACTTACTACCAGGTAACCTGAGTTTGAACCTTAGTTTCCTCGTCGGCTAAAAAGGGTGGTCTTTTTTTTTTTTTTTTAATTTTTTTTAA